ATACATTCCTGTTGAAATGCTCTGTTAATACATCTACAAAAATACCTTTGGCCTTACTGCAGTATTAGTTCAATTGACGGTAAAAATTTTCATTTATATCTGATTTATACAGAGAAATAAAAATCGCATGAAATAATATTTTGAAATAAAAAATGGTATTATTGGATGAGTGTATAAGTTCGATTTCAAGTGCAAACTAAAATTGAAATTTTTTGAAGAAAGCGCTTTTATTAATCAATTATGTATTCGCCATCATGTTTGCGATCCACTCTCAACGTTCAACCAATTTACGGATGCCTGATTCATAGAAATCGCGTGGTTTCTCGTTGAAAAAGGTGTCAAGGTGGTTTTTGACGTCTTCCACATTTTTAAATTTTTTTCCATTCAAATTGTTCTGCAGCGATCGAAACAAATGATAATAAGAAGGTGCAATGTCGGGTGAATATGGGGGATGCGGCATGATTTCCCAATTCCTCTCCTTCAGTTTGGCCAGGGTCGGTTTTGCAATATGTGGCCTGGCGTTGTCATGATGGAAAAGAACTTCTTGGACTCTTTTCATTAATTGCTTTCTTCAATTCGACCAATTGCTGACAATACTTGTTGGCAGTGATCGTTTCTCCAGCTGGCAAGAGCTCAAAATAAAATGTGGCACCCATGTATCGAGCTTCAAAGTGTACCCAACCTTTTTTAAACGACGAAATGCAGTTGATTTGTTGACGTTCAATTCACTGGCAACCTCTTCCGTCGAAATACGTGAGTTATTTGCAACTAAAGTCCTTAGAACATCGTCATCAAGCTCAGAAGGCCGTCCACTGCGAGGTTGATCTTCGAGGTTATAATCTCCAGAACGAAATTTCGCGAACCATTTCTTTACCGTGCGGAGTGCTGGAGCACGGTCCAAATAAACTTCCTGAATATCTTTAGTTGCAGCGCCTACTGTTTTTCCTTTGCGGAATTCGTATAACATAATATGACGAATATGATCTTTTTCGTTGTCCATCTTCCATGCGTCTTTTCACTAAGCAACTCATATCAAAATTAAGTTATTTTATGCTTGATTTACAGTTCGGACTGTCACCTTTCCAACGATATATAATATGTATATATTTCTTTCACGAGCGCCACTCTCAAACGATTGGAACGGCATCCAGCGGAATCGGGCACGAACTTATGCACATTTTTGTCTATTTAATTTCTTTTGAAAGGTACAATAAGTGTTTATAGCGCTTTAAAAAATAAAATAATTATGAAAGTTTCGAAATAATATTAAATTCCTTCAATTATTATGTTTATTGGGTTCACTGCACCCATCTGGTATTCTTTATTATTTTTTTATACTTTTTATGTGCAAAGGTTAGTAGGAAAGTCCACTATTTAAGTAAGAGCAAAAGCTTTTCGTACTCCTTCAAGCATAGAAATTAATTGTGTGCATCACTTTGACTGTGTATTATATTATATAAGGTTTTCCAACAAGAGTGATATGAATGAAAAAAAAGAAAAATGCACATAATAATTGTTAATGAAATTCAAATGTTTTTTATTTAATATAAAATACAATCGATACAATTCAGTTCTGAATATAACACCATTCAAATGCCCAAAACGACTTCTTTTTTTGCATGAACGCAATCGACGAACCCAATTTTTGAGCACTTTTTCCAATAAATCGTCGTATGTCATAAATAACGCGTCCAATATTGACTTTTGAAGCTGGAAGAGAGTCTGGTTTGTTGCTAAAGTCCAATCACTTAAAATAACTCCACAAGTAGTGATCTAATGGTGTTAAATCACAACTTCTTGAAGACTTAATGAAATAACCAAATATCCAAACCTTTTCCCGCAATAATTTGGTTGTTGCACGTGCTGTGTGACACGTAGCCCCGTAAGATCAACTTCTTCCAATTGTGGCCATAAAAAGTTGGTTATCATTGATCTATACCGCTCTCCATTGACAGTAACGGTGCTATCAGCTTCATTTCGAAAGAAGTACGGAGCGATGATTCCATCAGACCAAAAACCACACCAAACTGTTAATTTAGGTGAATTTGTGGATTTTCCTCGCATCAGAAACGATAGTTTTGTGTATTTAGCGCACTACTCAGATAAAAGTGAGGCTCATGGGAGAAGAGGATTTTCTTAAAAATATAGTTTTCAAATTGTTTTGTTGTTGTCGTACTTGTATATATTTTGCCATAATGAAATTGCAAACATTACTGATAAAGGGGAAAAAATTACAGATCATGACAATAAATAAATAAACAAATAAATAAATTAAAAATAGCCAAAATAACACTGAGAAATCACATCATCTCTATTGGGAAACCTTTGATTAAAAATCTCTTTACTCTAAATCTGCTACACACTCAATTAATATCTTTACGAGCCATAATAACATATTTTACTATTTTAGTACACCACAACTCCTTGCTCTTTTAAGTTAACATAATTTAACAGACTTTTTGTTTGTTAAACAGCAACAATTGGTAGTGTAACATGTATCTCTGTTAACATTTAACATACAGGTAAACTGTTCACATCGAAACTGTTGAATTAACAGACAATCGAAAACAACAGAGATACTGTTCTGTACGTTCCAGAGAAATTTCTGTTAATGATCAACTGAACTGATCTGCTGAAGAAAACATACAATATTAAAATTCAAATTAACCGATTAGTAATTCATTTGACAGTGATTTCTGACAATATTTAACAGGTATGGTCTGTTGAAACAGCAGATAATGGTACATGTGTAATGAAAATATCCATAATGTTCTGAATATATCTGCCATCGAACACTTTCGACTAACATCTTGGCTCATGCAACAAGTCAAACGCCCCTGCGGAGAAGAGAAAAAGCTACCTTCTTAAGAGCAACGACAAGCCAGCAGCCCATTCCTACTGATGAGCTTTATGTTTTAATTTAGTTTAGGATTTTATTACTTATCGTTAGACTTCCACTATCGAAGCATACTTAATAAAATCATTAATATTATTTTATATAAAAATAAAAATAAAAAATAAAAAAAATAAAAATTTTTTTTGAAACAACAGCGATTCTGGTAAATTGAAAGCCAGGTTTCTCAAAGAAATTAAAAAAAATTTGAAATTTTTTCTTGTGAATAGCTAGAAAATACTCTAAGTAATAAAATAGAATTATTTCCGAAGGTCAACAAAACCAAGATGTAAGTGGAGAGAGAGCGGAGCGCGCCAATCGGTAAATTTGGCCGCTCGAGTCTTTCATCGCCTTTTTCTCGTAACCACATTTTTTCAAAAGATTGACACTCTTATTTACAATAGTAACTAATGAACTTATCAACATGAATTAAATTGAATTGAATGGAATTTTACTCCTAAAGTGTGTCTCTTTGCTCGGTACTGCAACCAAATATATTTATTATTATTTTAAAAATTTATAATAATTAAAATTAAAAAAAGTGTAAAAAAATCAAAAAGCCCGTCATTTTTTTTTTTTTTTTTTGGTGAATTTTTTTATTTTATTTTGTTTTATTTTATTTTATTTTATTTTATTTTTTTTTTTTTGGTGAAAATGTTTCTTTGTAGTTCCGCTCACAGCCAATGTTATACAGCATAAGAAACCGTTTGGATTCTTGCTTTAAGATGACTCGTTTTGCAGTTATCGTGTCAGTCACCAACATAAAGGAAGTGTTTCAGCAGCAATTTTAAGGGGCAAAAATCAGGCAAAGCTTGTATATTTTTTGTAGAAGAATAAAAAGACATACGATCTGCCGGTTTTGACCATTAAATTTGGCAAAAAAAAAATAGTCGAACTTCAAAATGACGGCTACAAAATGGCGCTTTCCATCGGCCTCTGCTTGAAAAACATGGCCCAACAACTTCAGCCTACAGCCTCTTGTAGTAAACTGAAATCAAAAATCGTTGTCATTACTTGAAGAACAAGAAATTTCCTACGCTCTGAACAATTTTAATGATAAATTTATTGCATAATACTAATTGCAATGATGAAGTTAAATTTTTTTTGGCTACTTTTTTCACTTTAATTATGTCAAAAGAATATAAATAATTAATTATTAATGCTAAACTTAGGTACAAAACGCACAAAATACTTTGAAACAGTTTTTAGATAAAAGAAATCGGATGGATAGATCAAGTCCGTGGCTTAAAGTTACATCGGAAAACGAGTTATAAGTTTTATGAAAGTTCGCAGCGGGCGTGAGACAGGTGTGCTCAGGGACCTGGCATTTGAAAAATATTTATCGTACTACAAAATTCCTCTATACATATATAATAACGTTTTTTGGAGAAACCTGTTATGCCGGCCGGTCTGGTGCTTCAAGAGGAGAGGTGTTTTTTTGCTTTGCATCTAGCTTAAACAAGTAAAATTTGAAAAAAAAAAAAAAACAATTATTTCAGTTAATCCAATCAGATATCAGTAAATTCAATGATTTTCTGTATTAACGGTACGATCTGTTAAAATAACAGTTTTTATAGTTCTCGCTGTATATATTATATATTGTACACTTTTATATATATTTAGTTTAAGAAAATGTTAAGAAAAATTATTTCTCATTTCAAAATGTGTGTTCTTTTCTTCTCTTTTCATGTCAAATTTGCACTTCCGTTGCTTAATTTCGGGGGAAAAACATCAATCCATCACCTGCGCCCTCCCAACATAATCAATAACCAATCCAATTTGCTTTTTCACGGTAATGTCAATTAAATCCAATTACAACAACTGCAACTCTAATTGAGTGGTCGCCACAACAAATGTCAATAATGTTAAATGTCACATATGCACCACACAACGTACAAACATACAAATGGGTAAACATGCGGCTGACCTTTACTCGACCCAACAACCACTGCTAATCAACTTGCCGTAATATTTATACGCGTCGATGTTCATAAATTTTCCATTGACATACACATGAATTTATACGTTGGCTTGGCGCCTGGCCATTGTCGGACACATACATCTACATATATTTGCATTGCTTGGTTTTATGCTGTCCAACTCATAGAGGCTTGCCATCCGTACGAACCATTCAAATGTCCCGGTGATGGTAATTGCATTTCGATTCAGTATTTATGTGATGGTGCGCCCGATTGCTCCGATGGGTATGATGAGGATATGAAACTGTGCACGGCAGGTAGGTGGCATGAAACAATCACTCATTTTATCACACATACATACACACACACACACCACGTATATTATGGGTTTTCAAATATGCAATTGTGTTAGGAGCGTTACAGATTCTCCGCGAAGTGTTAAACGGAATTTTAAATTTTTTGTTCCACATTTATGAATGTGGAAGACTAATTTAATAACTTTTTTGTTTAGGGTTTTGAAACGAACACAAAACTGTGCAGCTGGAAATTTCATAGTTGGAAACCTCAGATGGGTTACGCCCTTTTCATTGATGCTTATTGCGGAAATCAAGCATCAGAGTTTAGTGACGTCCATTACAGTGACGATACGGAGAATCACAAATTTTATTTGCAGTATTTTTTTTTTTTAAGTTTCAACAAAAGAAAGGTGCCGCAAGTAAAAGTTTATTTCAGGAAAGTACAAAGCAAGCTTGTGTGCGCTGCCATCACCAAAAAGTTAAAACCGCTCTTCACTATACAAACGACTTTATATATGAGAACATAGTTGTTGTTGTTGTAATCGCAAAAATATTTCCCAAAGTGCTTTTTGGGGAATGTTGCGGGAGTGACAGTCCTTGGCCGGATGAAAATCCGGGTCGTTCCAGATCCGACTGTAGCGGGAACTGCTGGACTTTAGTCGCCTCTTACGACAGGCATGCCTTACCACGAGTAAATTCTTGTACCCCTAACCCGCAGGGGGGGAGAACATAGTCATATGTCTCGCTAGCGTTCGGATTATGGTTGTGTTTAGGTTCTAAAATGAAAATCTATCGAAATCTTCTTCTTATGACATTCAAGACAACAACCATTTGCAGCCTCTAGAGCCAACACAAACTCTCTTTGCAAGCGAAATTCGAGTTTAAAAAATTTCGTTACAATAGAAATACCCAAAGGAGAAGAACATGAACTGAACTGTCATTTTCCTTTGAGCCCAAAGGCAACAAAATAAAATGCCTGACAGCTTATTGGGTGTCTTACGGCACTTAATATGAGAGAACGCCGAAGAGCCCTACTTCTCTTTAAACAATACATTAAATGTAGCTTGGCTGGTTGGTTGATCGGCTCACCTAGGCCCTATGCGGACCAATTGTTATCCCACTGAGGATTTCAAATACCCCTTCTCGCTTATCGAACCAGTGTGTTGAGTTTGCAAAACTGAGCAGTTGCCACATCTTAGTCCTCGCGCCTTTCTCCATAAGTTACCGCCTCTAGGGACTTCAGCCTTTAATTTGAGACTACCAGACTACTGGCTTTTACCAAAACACGGTTTAGTGGAAGAGCTGGCAACGTGATTAAATAGCTTTGGCCTGTGCTGGATGCTAAGCGATCAAGGAATCTAATCCCCCAAGACCAGTTCACCATCAATTCAAAAAAGAGCATACTAACTTGACACAGTTTAATAGAACTTCCCGTAGGAGAATGGGATAACACGAGTCTGTTGAGCACTACCTCTGCCACTGTCGAGCCCGAAGTATTATACGACAATAACACCTGGAACGTCACGTCTTAGATTGCCTCATGGACCGAATTTCCATCTACGAAGCTGCCGAACGTTAACAAAAATCGACCAATTTCTGAAGCGTACAGCAACGTCATGCGAAAACGGTCGTGGTCGAAGGGCAGTGAGCCGGCACAAATCGGCTCCAAGCCAAGATTGACTTGTATGTTTGTTGAGATTGGTAAGGAATAATCCAGTGTAAGCTTCTGCCCTGCTGCCAAACTCTTAATTCGACTCTGTATAGCTAGCAAATAGATCATCCAATCTCCCTGAATCGCCCAGCTTTGCCAGTAGGAGGGCAATTATGGTTCAACAGGACAAGGCCCACCACTAACATTGAGAGCGCCTCGTCAGAAAATACCAGGCCTTGGTTGAGGGGTTTTTATACATCCACCTCACAGTCTGGACCTTGCACCATACGATTACCATAATTTCCCGTCTATGGCGAACGATTTGGCTAGAAAAGAATCGGCCTCAGCAGAAGCCGGCGAGAACGATTGTCCCAATTACCTTCAAATTTATCGAGAAAAACGGTGCATATTTGAAATAAATCGGATTGTTCCAATATTTTTAAATAAAGCCTTCAATGTATGTGCTTTGTTGTTTTTCGTGTCAGAACTATGGTCTGAAGGTTTGACAACCCTGGCAGCGTCTGCGATGATTAGAACAAAGGCACCGATGAGGCTAGAAATATATAAGAGAATCGTAAAAACATACTTACCTCCCTTGCCTAACTAAACCTCTTTAATAAAATTTGGAAAATGTTTGTAAAGAAATCTTTAATATTAACTACGATAAGAGCAACACATGTAGCAACTTGAGGCGGCCAACACAATCTGATCCGACATACAGACACCTGGGCTACACAATGAAGAATGGATGTCAGAATTGACGGATATGCTCAGCATAATGTCATTCGAGCCCTGCATTGCAATGGTCAGAAGATAAATTGCTTTTAAAGCCTCTTAAGCTCATAGGCATGGCACTGTGTCTGCAGTAAGCATACATACATATATGCACATAATTTGTGCACACAATCGAATGTGCAAGTCCAAATTTATCATGCAGACAAATAAACTAGTAACAGACCACTTCGAAACCAGTCGACTTTTCATAAAAGAAGCTGAGATTTGGAACATGCAGATCATATAGACACAGAAATAATTACATATACATATACATATATATGTATAAGTCAAATAAAAATAACAATAAAATTCAGTCTTTATTCAATGATTTTATTATTATCAGTAAAGGCGAGTATTTTTGAACTAAAACAATTTCTGCTGGAAAATTTTAGTAGTAAATTGATACTTTTTCTGACCGGGAACTAGTATATTATGTATATTCCCTCATATGCACGTGTGCTTACATGTTCACGAAATTCAATTTCCAATATGCGATGATAGGAAAAGTGATGAATTGCGGAAGTTAACGAACGGCGAATGACATGTTGCCAATGTAAAACAATATGTGTAATCAGATGGATTTTTTTTCATAAATGCTGGAATCTCACTTTTTATCTGCGCAATAGCACATATACATAGTTTTGCAGTGGCGTGGAAATTAAAATGAATCGATTTTACTTCTTCGTCATATTTAGTGGAAAGTAATATTCAAAGGGCCACACGTAGACTTATAAGAGAGATAAACCACCATAGAAATTGATTATAGAATTAGATGAATAAATAAAATAAAAATAAGATGTACAAAACAAATTAAAAAAAATTAATTAATAATAATTTATTTAAAGTAAATTACACCAAAATGAAAAAAATATATTAAAACTAAAATTAAAATAAAATAAAATAAAATAAAATAAAATAAAATAAAAAGAAATTAAGTTAAATAAATTAACCAAAAAAATAAAAATAAGAAGTAATCAACTGAAATAAATTGAAACCAAAAAAAACATGATAAAAGCTAAAATTGGAAAAAAAAATATTAAATAAATTTATATAAAATATAAAAACAAACAAAATAAAACAAAAAAATGAAAATCAATGACATAAGCTAAAATGAAATTAAATAAAATAAAATAAAAAATTAAAAAAAAATAATTTGAAACAAAACAAATCAAAATAAAATTAAGGAAAAAATAAGATCAAATAAAATAAAAAAAATAAATATCTTAAATGAAGTTAAACAAACCTAAATAAAAAAAAAAAATTATAAATGAAATTAAATGAAACTACATATATTAAAATAAAACAAACTTAAATGAAATAAAATAAAATTAAATAAGCAAAATAAAATATTATAAATTAAAATAAAACAAAATCAAAGGAACGAATAAAAGATACAAATTCAACAAGAAAAATATATTACAATTAAAAATTAAAATAAATAGCACAGAATGAAAAAAAAATAAAAAAAAGATATAATGAAAATAAATAAAATATAATACATTAAATAAAACTAAGAAAAATAAAATAAAATAAAATATTATAAAATAAAATAACATAAAATAAAATAAAAAACCTAAAACGAAATAAATTTTAGGTAAATAAAATAGTACAAAATAAAAATAAATTAAATGAAATTAAATAAAACTTTATAAAATACCTTCATGAAACTAAATAAAACAAAAAAATAAAACAACCTAAAATGAAATAAAATAAGATTTATTAAAACATAATAAATAAAAAGAAATTAAATAAAAATTAATTCAAACCAAAAAAAAATGAAGTAAAACGAACTTTAATTTAATTTAATTATATTAAATAAAATAAAATAAAAAAGCCAAATAAAATAAAATAAATAATTAAAAATTAAAAACAAAATAAAATAAAATAAAACATATTATAATAATATGAATTAAGATAAAATAAGATAATGAAAATTATTAAAAACAAATTATATAAAATAAATTAAATTAGAATAAAATAAAACACAAAAATAAAAAGAATTAAGATATGATAAAATAGAATAAAATAAAGTAAAATGAAATAAAATAAAATGACATATAATAAAATGAAAAAAAAAAATAAAACAAAATTAATAATTAAAAAAAAAAATAAAATAAAACAAAATAAACATATAAAATAAATAAAAAAATGAAATTTAATAAATAAAATCAAATTAAATTATATATAATTTAAAATAAGTTGAAACAAAATAGAAACGAAAAATAAACTAAAATAAAAAAATGAAATAAATTAAGGTAAGAAAAGTAAAATAAAAAAAATAAAATATCAAAATAAATTAAAAAAAAATAAAATAAATTAAGATAAAATAGACTAAAATAAAGGACAATGAAAAAAATTATTATAAAATAAAAGAAATAACTAAATAAAGTAAAGTAAATAATTAAATTAAATAAAACATAAAAAATAAATAAAAAAAATTGATATTAATTAAATAAAATTAAATTAAATTGAATACAATTTAAAATAAATTGAAATAAAATAAAATAGACAAATAATGAAATAAAAGAAAAAATAAATGAAGTACCAAAAAATAAAATAAAATAAAAAATGAAATAAATTAAGGCAAAATTAA